TAACCAGTTCCTTCCTATTTTCTATATATTTTCACACACATATATATATATATATATATATATATATATATATATATATATATAATTGGCTACTCGTATTTGAGTATGCCTGTCTACTAAATTAGCTAGCAACTCCCTGCTGCAGATGCCTTCTCAGGCGCATTTGTGTTTGTTTAACACCTACAGAGCCTACCTATGTTATATACTGCAACTGTGCTGAGCTGACCTTAGTTTCTTGAAAAGAGCACATTATCTGACATGATGAACAGTCTGAAAAAGGTACTGACCTCAAACAAAATGAATTGCGACTTCATACTAGCTCAACCACTGGCAGCCCCCAAATATTATATTTGGTGTGTGACCGATTTATCAAGGTAACTTCTTGATGTTATCAGCCTGAGGAAGCTATCCTAGCATGTGGCACCTTTGGAAAGTATCTGAAAATTATACCACAAGTTGACCCAAAGCCTCATGAGTGAAATTGTGTGTATATATATATATATATATATATATATATATATATATATATATTTATATAATATATATATATATATATATATATATATATATATATATATTTATTAGTATAAACATAGTATTCATGGAAGTACATTTAGTCAGTTCATTAAGTAACAGCAGTAATAACTTGAAAATGTAGTATTCCCAACTCCATTGTAAATAACCACCCCAATCCTACATTTGAAACAATAAGTGATTAGGCTTATTCTGAAATCCTGCATCAGACGTCAGTTCTTGTCAGATGAATGAAGTCTACAGAGCCTGGTCAGTGTTTAGATGAGTGACAACCTAAGAACCTCAGAAATTCTAAATGATTTATGAATGTGGAACAGACTTAGCAACGCCGATTTAATAGACTAAAATTCTAACTGATATAGGCACTATTGTTTTTATTAGGATTACTGTAAAAATTACTTCTATTAAAATGTGCTCATAATACCATTCACTCAGTTCAACAAGAATTCGTTAATTTTGTGTAAATGAAAAAAGTCGTCAAACTTTGAAAACTTTTAAAAACAGAAAAAAGGAATTTCTTTTCAACATGTTAGAGACGTGTATATTGTTTTTGAAATACTACTAAGTTAGATTTATTTCTGTTTTAACAGCTTCTACTCTTCAATACACTGTGTGGAAACTATTTGGAGAGAAAGAAAGCAATGGAGTAAATACATAGAAGATAAAAGGAGAAAGAAAATCAATCTATTAAAGGAAACAAATACAAGAGAAACATTGAGTTAATTTTGATAAAGATAACTTTTTAAATTTTATCATAAACAATACAAACATTTAATATCCATTATAATATAATTAATTAACATTTAACCCTATCATTACCATTGAGTTTCAAATAGACAAGGTGGCTGGAATAAAATGTGTAGCTGAAATTTTTTAATAATTTCCGGCAATGAAACACTTTATTCTAGAATGCTTGCTATATCTTAAGAGTAGGAAGGAAATTTTTTTAATATTTAATAAAAAGAGTGGTTGAAAAAAGTGTTTTAAGTGGAATAAATGTCCCCGCCCATTTATTTGAAACTCCATTTTCCCTAAGTAAGTTTTATTTCTTTCAGGGTCGTATTCATACAATTATCACCAGCATCTTTCATCTTGTGAATGCAACAATGCACTTTGGTAATACATGTCACCTTTTGCAATCTTTGTTCAAATATTCTAAGAAAGACAATTTCTACAGTCTTGTTTGCAGTTTCTATATTTGATGTTCTCTTTTCCTGCTACAACTCCAGTCCAGACCTGAGCATATCCTTCAGTTTATTTATTTGCCCAAGGATTTCTTAATATCTTTGTATCTAATGTCAATACAAAAGGTGCTACATAAACATTGATGGACAGTTAACTCAGTGACAGATGACCTAAGTGCTACAAGAAGTAGCAACAAGGTTCCTCCTTACCATCTTTCTAATTGTTATTTTATTTATTTGATGTGTGCAAGGGTGGTGTAACAGTTAAAGACTCCAAATAAGAAATCAGTAAGCACAATTTGAATTCAGACAGAGATTATTATAGTGACTTTCAAACAAACACCCTTGGGAAAGATATGAATTCATCACTTCTCCACTGACACCCACCAAACTAAAGCAGACTGTACTCTCTAGCCATGGTCGACAACTAGTGTCGGATAAAGATAATTGAATTCAAAATCACATGTGGTCCTGGCTGGACAGATACTTGAACTGTAACTAAGGTTTGCTCAGCCTAGTTGAAGTACAAACCACAGGTTGGCTCTGTGGCTGCTGAAGAAACACAAATTGTCCTGAACAAATGGATTTCTTGAAAATGAGCAGTTATGCTGAAGATGTGAAATCACATTGATCTGTAATGCGCCTTCAAGTCTAAACAACTCTGATGATGTACTTAAAACCAGAAACTCCTTGGAACAATGAAATCTCCAAAACTATAATATTTTCAGCTTCCCATTTCCTATAGTCATGGTTGAATAATTACATTATGTTTCAGAATGCAGTCCACTGAATTTACATTGGTTCAGTCAGTGATAAGATCTTGATCAGCCAACTGGTCTGAAAGAACCAGAGTGGAATTTGCTTCATTGAACCACAGTTATTTGAAGTGTTTACATAGATCTTGCCCTTAGGCTTTTATCCAGAAAAAAATCATTGTTGATTATCAAGAGTATCTATTGAGTAAAGTGTGTAAAGGTCACTTTTAAGATGTAATTTCACAAACCATCTGTTTTGCGGAACCAACTTCCCCAAGAACGTGCTTCCCAGATCACTGCAATCTTACTTAACCTATTCAACTCTGGAGTCATCTGTTGGCTTCCTCAAATATCGCAATAAACTGTGATTTACCTCGAGTGGCTCTGGTGTCTTGTAAAGAGTGAACATTATTGTAAAAAAAAAAAAAATTTAAATTCAGATTTTGTGAAGAGAGAATCAAAATTAAATTTATCCTTTTACTTAACTACAATTGAAATGGTGGCACATTGATTTTTGTCTTTCAATCTTTACCCAGTTTTGCTCTAGCCCAGGGACACCCACACTGTGGCCCACTTAATATTTTCATGCGGCTCACTGCACCTTAAAATCTTTATGTATATTTTCATTTACTTTAGTAACATATGTCAAGAAAATTATTCTCTGATTGTGATAGTATGTTCACTTCCCCATTGCACTACGTAAAAGGGAAAGAGGGCAAAGGCATTTGCCAAGACACACCAAATTTTACTAATTAACCCATAGCTGGGAGGGGGTAGAAAAGGTTAATTCATACTTTTGCCAAGGGTATTTGGCATGTAAGTGAATATAATGAACCCAACTGGCACTAGAACTCAGCTTCCCAGTTAATAATTCTGAGTAATTATCCATTACACCACCCACACATAGAAGGTTACAGTAACTGCTTTATCCAAGCAGTCACCCATCTAGGTACTGACCAGGCTCTACATTGCTTAACTTCAATGATCGTCTGGGGACTTGTTTCAACATGCCATGGCCATAAGCCACAGCAATTCAAATTGTTCCATAGAAAAGTGTAAGTTGATTTTACAGATTTATTTGCAAGTGTGAAAATATGATATAATCAGTCAATAGAAAGACTTGTACAGTTATTCTTTACCAGGAAGTTAATTTCTTTAAAAGCACACAATCATTTTTCTATTACAATAAACTGCAATCATAAATATCAAGATACATGACAAGTAAGTCTGTATCCTGTTTCAAAAGTAATGTCCTGCCTAAAGTAGGCAACTTTTTTCTTTCTTTCTTTTTTTTTTTTTTTTTTTTCAATCATTTTACCCAAAATAATGCAATAATGCCACTAAGAAACAATGGGCTACTGGAAGTGGAAGAGAAGAAAAAAAAAAACTGTATTGAGGAGAAAGGACAATAAAAGAACAGGATCCAGAAAGATAGAAGATGGCGATTGACATTGCATTTAAATTTTTGAAGATTGTCAGTGGCAGGAAAACAAGAAACCCAAAGAGTTCCACAGGTGAGGAGTGTGAGAAAAGAAACTATTAGAATAGAACATGATTACATCTAGGTATTTTAAACAATAAAATGATGAGACTAGTAGTAAGTTTAAATTAATGCAGTCAAGGTACTGAGGAGCAGCACTTATTTGGACAACTGCTATGAAAATAGAAGTGACTGAAGTCGAGATGTCAAGTGAGGACTGAAAACATTACAGACCATTCTTTGGATTTTGTTGAGAATTTCGCGATATATATATCTGGAGCACCAGACCACATATGGCAGCAATATTCAATGCAGAGATAAATGGTAGAAGTGGAAAATTATTTATAATTGCATGCATGCTAAAGTACCATTTCCCTTCTAAGATGGCCACAACTACATAAAAGACATGTTGGGTATATAAATATCAATTTATATTAATAGCAATATCAAAAGAGGCTTATGGATGCATCAAGTTGAAACACCAGTTCCAATATGATCACCAAAGTTAAGCAACATTGAGCTTTGTCAGTACCAAGATGGGTGATGCTTGTTGTAATGGATAATGCTCGGAATTGTTAATTAGAGAGCCAAGTTGCAATTTCAGTTAGGCTTGCTATATTCATTTATGCACAAATATGCTTGAGAATGGTATAAATCTATGTCTCTTGCTAGGTATGGGTTAATTAGTAAGACTTGCACCACTAAACTATTATCATCTATAAAAAAAAAAAAAAATCTTACAATCTAAAAATATTTTCTGGCTTTAAATAACCTGCAACGGTTTGACAAGTTATAAAAAATGAATCAATCAATCAAACAATATCAAAGAGAACACAGAATTTGTAATATATCTATGTTATCTACAGTAGAAAAAAATGTTTTAATTTAAAAAAAAAATAAAAAAAAAATAAAAAAAAAAATAAATAAATAAATTTAAAAAAAAAAAAAAAAAAAAAACTATTAGCAGGTACTACACCTGTAGAGTAAATCTGATTCTGGGTAAAGATGCCCATGAGCTAGAATTGTTCTGTTGGTCATTGTCATGACTCAAGAAAAGCAACTACAATCGCATTGGTGACACAAGCGAGAAAGCAATGGCAATGTAGTTCCCTTGGCAACCATTTTGAAAGAGACTAAGTTACCCAGAAAGCCAGAGAGAGAGAGAGAGAGAGAGAGAGTGTAAAGATCAATAAGCAGACCAAAGTGAAGCATAGCAACTGCAAACAGTTTAAAGTGGGGGGAGGGATGTGTGAATGTGTGCACAAAGCAGGCCAATAAAAGCAAAATGCAAAACCCCAAAGTACAAACTGAGTCATTCAATGTTGATTGAATAGAGTCTATCATTGAGAAGGAAAGACAGAAGAAATAAAAAAAAATGGAGAAGGAAAATAGATAGGGTAAATGATATAACTGAGATAAAGGACGTTGAAAAAGCGTTGTTTTTTTTTTTCCCCCCCCTTCATAAGCAAATGAGTAAAAGTCAAGGGCCTGATCAACAAGTGATCAGGTGTTGAGATGATTCAATGCACAGAGTTAGGCAACAGACAACATCTAATTGAACTGAGTATTTCAATACAAGGGAAGGAAGCAGAGTTAAAAGCAAGGAACCTTATTGGTGCATTATGCCAGGTTAAACATATATAATTATATGAATGTATTAATTCTTGTGTCTCTCTATGTTAAGAAAAATTGAACCTACAACAAAACTATAGTAGCTCTTCAGTCTGTGTGTGTGTGTATATATATATATATATATATATATATATATATATATGAGACAAAGTGGAAAAGCTTCTAAATGACATGTTCCATCAACATAACAGGTATTGGGTTTGGCTTCTTCAGGTTGGAATTATAGTGCAACATTTGACAAATTCGCACCCTAATACATCCAACTCACAATTTCTCCCTTATTTCTGGTCTAATCTTAAATATTTATATGGTTGGAAAGAAAACAAAATTTAATTTCCCAATATGTAATTTCCATGTGATTTTATCCAATAAATTATTTTTTATAGCAAGTAAAAATGGTATTTTGCTTCAAACAGCCAAAAATGTAACTTTTTTCAAGATTCATGCACTAATTGAATTTTGGTGTATAAAAATTTTAGCACACCAATCGAAAGCGCATTAATCAAATGTGCTCTAATCAAGGGATGCCTGTATAATTAATATGATTTGAAACTTATTATTTATCTATCACAGAAATACATTTTTTAACACAGCAGCAGCTGTTTATTTAAGCCTTTTAAGGTGTTGACAGGTTGATAATAGATCGATGTTTATCTGATATTGTTCAGTTGGAGGGTGGGAGCTTTATGCATAAAAAATAATTGAATATTATAACGTGTGCATTTTTTTATATATAAATTAGGAAAAAATTCTCCATAATCTAATGTTTTAGTGAATTTTTGATACTTTGGCATTAAATTTACTATAGTTATCACTCCTATTTTTTGATAATGTCATGTATGAACATTCGAAGCTACAAAAAAAATCAGCAAAAAACAATTCAAAATTCTTTTTAAAATACTGGGATATCTAAGACTGTAATAAACTTTTCAATTTATGATTAGTAAATACAGTTATACTCAATAACAATATTCTCTAACCTTTACAGCATTAAAATCAAATTTTAAAAAGATTTTAAAAATTTTATAAATTCTTCTAGTTAAAAAATTATTCTATTTAAGAAAATGAAAACAAGTATTGTAAAAATTCATTATTCATCAAAAAAAGTTTTTCTTAAGACAATAATATCCTTAATATATCTTATTCATAAAAGCAATTAAATGATTTTCTAATTAAATAATATTTTTGTTTTATCAAATTTTTTATTTTACAATTCAGAGTAGATTTTTAATAAAACAGGCTCAGCTTTTACAAAAATACAATGATTTAAATTCCTCATGGTGTTCTGTTTTTAATTAATACAGTCACTAAAAATTATCTCGAATTTCTCAAGTTTTTCTAAAATTTTGTATAAAAACATGTAAAAAAAAAAAAAAAAAATATATATATATATATATATATATATATATATATATATTCTTACAAGATTTTCTAAAAACACCATTTCTAAAATAATTTAATTCATTTGTGAATGAGTCCTGAAAGTTTTATTAAATTCTGACAATTATTTGATTTTTGCAAGAATTTTCAAATCTGTTATTTTTCACTGCAAAAAAAACTAAAATTTGCTATCCTAATTTATAGTCCATCTGCTAACCCAAGTAAAACAAAATTTTTAACCAAAATTTTGAATTTTCTAAAAAGGATTAAAAAATATATTTAAATTATTAAAAAATACTTTGGTCTTTCTTTTTAATAACAGATTTTGATAAAACATAGTTTTCATCAAGTTAGGGTCATTTTTCATCATAGTATGCTCTCTAATTTTAGGTACACTTCCAGACTGTAAGCATGTGAAACTTTTTGGTGAATGTTGGTGCTTCCAGCCTTAAAGGGTTAATTGGAGTAAAGAAAGAAAAAAATAATTTATGAAAACAGTGTTATGGCCAGCCACATGAGTGAAAGAGTTATCTACTTCCTTACCTATACAACCCCATTATTTTCATATGGGAAGTCAGAAAGAGTCTTTGATATCTTAAAAAGAAGAGAAGCAAGTCTGACTAAAAAAAAAAATTACAAGGGACTCTCTTCCTCCTTGCTATAGTTGGTAAAGTTCTGATCAGAATCCCCACTCATCAAAATCACCAAACTGACAACAACCCATGATGAGTTTATAGAAGGTGAAGGCCATTGTTGTTACCTAAATAGACTACCATGATGATGATTTCCCAGTGCTGCTCAAAGTTGGTGTTGAAACACAAGTAAAAACCAGAATATCAAATGCCAAGCCCTTACTGCTTGCAACAAAATCCTTCTACGCATCTCCTCCAGCTAATAGTCTCTATGCAAAGTTTAGTACAAATTAATACTGTTACTTACAAAGATTATTCACTACAAAAAAAAAATAAAATTGAATTAAAAGCTGAGAGATTTTTTTTTTATTGTCTTTTTTCTTTGCTCTTTCTGATAATTGAGGTTGTTTTTATTTCTTTTTAAATGCTTAAACCAAAAACATAAAACACTCCCCTCAGAACATTGTGAGCTATACTTACTCGCTGTTCTTCTTCCTGTTTTCGACGGCGTTCTTCAACAGCAGCTCGTCTCTCTTCTTCTCTTCGACGAAGTTCATCAATTTTACGCCGTCTTAATTCTTGTTGTCGCTCTCTGTGCTGCTGCGCTAATCTCTGTTGCTCCTTAAACTCTTCAATTTTTTTCTTTCGTTCTTCTGCGAGCTTTTCACGTGCTACTCGGACTCTTTCTTCACGCTCTCTTTCTTTTTCTCTCCTAACGGTACCTGAAATAAAGTGACAATAATATTGAAAATTTTACTCTTGGGAGCTATGCAGTGTTTAATTCATCACTATAAATTTTTTTTTTTTTTTTTTTTTTCACTGCCTACTTATATAAAAAACCCTATACACAGATTTAATGAATAAAAACAGTTGAGAAAAAAATAAATATTTTAAAAAAATTCAAATTACTTACCAACGGTTGTCCAAGGCTGAAAATCTGAATAAACTATTTAAAACTACTAAAAACTTAAAATATAACTAATAAAAAAGAAAATTAGACTGATACCATCCTCTAATTATGAAATAAATAAAAGCAAATTGCAAACTGTAAAACTTCATTTCCATCTTTAATTAGCCAAACTTTTAATTAAAAGTCAATATATAGAGCAGGGATTCTTAACCTTTTGATGATTCCAGACCCCCAATGGATTGTCCAATATGGTCCCATACCCCCTTCCCTTGACTGTCGAAATAATTATCACCAATCCTATTATTTGCCAGTATGTCTTCCAAATATTTCAATCGCTTGAATTTACTGTACTTTAGCTATGGATTGCTAGGAATAGAACACGAAAACAAAAACCATAAGCATTGATAACTTTATCATACTTTTTTTATTGAAAGCAAAATAAATTTATAATTCAGTTTTATTACACAAGAAAAAGGAAGAGAACATAAATGTGTAAGTTTTTTTAGTACCTCGACTACATAAAAACAGACTTTTACTAATCTAGTGAGATATTTGCTATTGTTTTTGTGCAATCAAAGCATGGAATTGTGGTACAGTTACTGACAAAGCTACTCGCATGTCATCTGACACGTTAAGTCGATTTCTCCATTTTGATTTCAGATTTAATAATGCAGAGAATCCTGTTTCACAGAGATACGTAGTTGTGAAGGGAACCAAAATATGCATTGCCCAGAAATCGAGTCCCATACCCCCAGCATTTGGTTCCCATATCCCCAAGGGGTATGGATACCCTTGGTTAAGAACCTCTGATATAGAGAATCAACCTTAATATATCAAATCAGACAATCAGCTTCTGAATCTGTCGCATTTGTAAGAAAAAGAATTTTTAATGTCACAATGATGTTTCAAAAAGAGAGAACAATTTCTGGACATTGTGTGAAATTTATTTTTTTAAAAACTGATCCTAACAATTTGAAACTGCAATTAATGCAAAACTATAAAGAAATAATTTCTATTTACAAAACTAATTGACAGAGTATTTTCTGAGAGGGCAAGGTGATGATTAGTAAGTTAGTAATCTTTGAGGTCATTATATAACACCTCCTTGCAACAGGGTCACACCCTTAGCCACCAGCACCAAATAATGTAACACCTTTTGCTACCACCTACACCAGTGGTGTAACCACGTTTAATGGTCCAGTCCTCAGGGTCTTAGGACAATGCTTTAACCATGGGCTGACTCTGCGCTGGTCAATGTTAACACAAGTCCAAGCTGGTTATTGGTCACTCACTGATTTGATCCACACCATCTCTGCTCACATTGTGTTCCTGATCTCAGAGCAGTAGAAGACCGAACATCATCATAGTCTTGCAGTGCTGGTCAAGCCATGGTAGGTACTATATTAAGGAAGAAAAATATCTTCACGACGAAAATAAATAAAACAAGAGATTCATGCGGTAAATCTTCAATTGGTTTATATAGCTCTTGGTACAACAAAAATTAACCCTTCTCACATTAATCTCTCCAGTGAAATTGGGCCTTGTCTAAAGTCTGCGTTCAAAGTCTTAGAATCAGGAATTTTGTTTTGCAGCCAGTGTAAATTCCAGAAGCACTTGATGCCACTTCTCAGCCCAAGTCTGCAAACTCCCCAAAGTCATCGACTTATATGATCTTTAGACCAAAACTGGTGTGGGGTCAAAGGGCCCGAGGGATTCGTTGATTCTTTTATTTCCATTAATTCAAATAAGAGTTTTTTTTTTGTTCCCTATTAATGCTTTCTTAATCAATTTTTCAGATTTGGAGAATTACCCACCTTGTCTAGGATTAGTCACAGGGATTGCTTCTCCCTTAACTCCAACCTGCTCTACTTCACAACTCACACCACTACTTCAACACAGGCAGGGCCAAATTTTGTTTTCATCAACCAGAAATAGGATTCTCAACTGCTTTTCTTTCCATTAAATGTTTTTCTAATTTTTCCAGGAAGAGATAAAGCTATTTCCCCAATTCTATTTTCATCCACATGCCAGACTTTCAATAGACAAGAAAAATAAACTTTTAGGAGTGAAGTAATCCAGATGTCCCATTCTCACCAAGGAAAATGTCTTCACTCTATCTTCCAGCCATTTTCGGTTAATCCCTGTTTTTCCTGCTTAGAATTAATGTTTAACCACTTCACCATCTCAGTGTCACAGTTACTAATGTAATGAGCTAGTCAATATTTAGAGTATCTGTCTTATAGTAATGGCTAATGAGTTTGTCTCATAGACTATTAATTAATGTAATTAATTAATGTACTAATTCTCAGCAAGTGCACTACTAATACATTTCTGTGCAAGATTAAGTTAAGATTGAACTCACAACTACTACTGTCACAAATTCACAAACAATTGCTTTCATCCACTAGGCAATGGATTAAAGCAGGCAGTGCATACTTGGTCTGTGGAAATGGAGTGAACAATAACCTAGTAGCACTAAATAAGAACTAAACAAGCTATCCCTAAACAAGAACAATCTACTCCCAAAGATTAAATCAGTTCAAAATTACTTGTAGGTATCCCAGGTCAACATACATCTGATAAAGGCTGGAAGGTATAATGGCCAGAATATTATTAGTTACCAGGATGAAAAAGAAACTTAGTAAATCTCAGGTGAAGCAGTTTATGTTAACTTTGAGTTAATATTCTTTGGAAAGGCATGAATCTATTCCCTCTTGCATTGTCTAATATTTTGACATACCTTGCAACCAACATACTATGATGGTTGATATAATAATGGATGAATGAACACTTGAGCCAACCACTTACCCATAATTCCCTTACTCCTGTTCATTCAGCAGTAACAGATACAAAAAAAAAAATCCATTACCAAGCTTGATAGCTGCTATATGGGTTAAATAATAAGACAAGAATCTATATTCTTGTATTACTGTTATAGTGAAACACACCTATTCTATTGTTAATAGACTCTCCCACCTATAATAAGTAGGAGTAGTAGCAGTCGCACAGTGAGTTGGTCAGTCAGTCAATGTCGGACGACCATTAGTCAGATATTAAACTGCATCATTAACTATTATATCAAGTTCCTAACGTTTTGTACGTCGAACCTATTTTAGGACCGACTTAGTGAAATACAAGCCTCCACTGTGAAACTACTCTACAACAATTACACAGAAAAAAAATGTATTTCCGTATCAGCATTTATTCGCACACAATGTGTGTGTGTGTGTGTTCATTTATCTTGTCTCTGAAGAGTGGATGTAATTTCTGTACATACAAGATAAATGAACAATTTTAATTTTATTTATTATTAATTCTCTGTCTCTTCATATTAAGCATTCTAATTACAAAGATTGCTTGCTTTAAAAATGTTAACTTCCAGAAATACACTGGTCAACACCACCATCCCCCACTAAAAAAAATAAAAAAAAAAAAAAATGAAAACATGCAAAGAGGTGTAACAGTTATCTTGATAGGAAACCAACTCATCAAACTGAGTTCAAATTTTGTTTGGTACTAATGATCTTGATAAAGGCATGAAACCATTTCTTCCTGTAATGTCTCACCACACAGTCTACAATGATTAAAAGAGTAGGTGAGTGAGCACTACCTTACCCCCACAGGCAGTAGTACAATGAAAAGTTGTTACATTCATTGTTAACCTTGGCTGGGGCCAATCAGATTATATCAGATCTGTTGGTCTACTTGAAGGATATATTCAAACACCCAAATAAATTCTTTGAATCATTTAATGTGATTATTTAATCTACACTTATCATAAAAATAAGTTTTTGTTTTTTGTTTTTCTTAAAATAAATCTTTTGCTTTTAAATCAAGTTGAGAGTCAGGATAAAAGTGTAAAATATTCAGAAAGCATTTATTGTAACTTATCAACAAATATATCTGTGAATGAGAGAATACTTGTATAAATCCAGACTCAGATTATTTTGCCTAAAATACATGCATGTGCATCATACACAGGAACTATTGGCAAAGTTTAACATACATAACCACCCATCCACCCCACAAAATGATGGGTCAGAAGAGTGTTTTTCCACTTGACACCACAATTACTCTATATTCCCTTGCAGATTTTTGGATTTATGCATTTTCTTTTTTTCTTGAGAATTAACAACAAAGGAGTTAAACACTATTCTTTTTTTTTTTTCACCTCAAGCAAGACAATAATGACACAAGGAGTTACTGGGAATGAAAGAGAGTGAGAAGACTTTAGTGAGGAGAAAGGACAATAAAAGAACAAGATTCAGGAAGACAGATGGCAATTGGTGTTGCATTTAAATTTTTGAAGATTGTAGGTGGCAGGGAAGCAAGAATTTGGAAGGAAGTTCCACAGACAAGAAGTGCAAGAAAAGAAAATATTAGAATAGAACTTATAGTTGCACCCATTAGATTGTTTATTTACAATAATAACTTTATATTTACAAGTTTATAAAAACAGATGAACTAACTACTATGCAATAGTCATTATTTACCATATTTTAAAAAAATAACTACGAAAATAATTTTTTTATTCATAAATCTATAAAAATGTCTGAAGAAAAAAAGAATTAAATAAACATGTAACTAAGTAACTAATAAATTGCGGAAAAAAATTTCTTTCATTTGCCCTTGCTACATAAATTCTTAAAATAATTTGCAAGCATCCGGGTTTATACTTTTTTTTTCCTCAAGAATTAACAACAAAAACATTAAACCCTATTAATAGAAATAGTGTTTCATACTTTTGTTGTTAATTCCCAAGAAAAAAGAGAATGCAGTAATCCAGTTTCATCATATATTTAGGATTTACTA